ACCTCCTGGACAGCTCACTAAGAATGCTGCTTCACAATGAATGTAAAATGGATGCTGTCCAGGAGGTGGGAGGGTCTGGGAGGGAGGGTCTGCTGCTGATTGGCTGGAATGTGTCTGCTGACTGTGAGGTACAGGGTCAAAGTTTACTCAATGATGAGTCCGTGGCGAACCGTTCGCGACATCACTATCATTCATTTATAAGTGTAATAGCAGAAGATTGAAAACAAATGGGATGAGGTGGGACAGAGAGGGTTAAGAGCAGATGCTGACATAAAGGGACAAAGTTCCCTATGTGCAGTCTGGTCCCCTTCTTGCCAATGTGTCTGCTGACTGTGAGGAACAGGGTCAAAGTTTACTCAATGATGAGTCCGTGGCGAACCGTTCGCGAACCGTTCGGCAAACCGTTCGGGACATCACTAATGAGTGATAGTAGAAGCCAAATTAAATGGGAAGGAGATGGCACAGAGAACAGTAAATGCAGACATTGGCATAAAGGGGAATTCCTTCTTCAATGGTATCCAGAAGATATTAAACTAAATAGCTGAAATTGTTCCCTCTCCCTTACTGTATGTCTGTGTCTAGGTGACTCTAATAGATTGTGTGTCTGTATATTTTCAGCTGTGTGCCTGTATGAATGTTAGTCATATATTCTTTTTACTCATATCAATGTAAAACACAGGTACAAATTTAGAAGAAAAAAATATGTTTGCATGTTTTTTTATTTTTTTTCCATAAAGGCTGGAGGCTGCCCTTTTTGTTCATCTATTGTGCCAGGAGTGTTCCTTGCCCCAGGGACAATATTATGGAACATGTTTTGGACACCGGTGTCATTGTTTGTAATCAAAATACTTTGGTGAAGGACAGATCACATGAAAGTTGATTGCATTCTATGAACCTAAGAATTGCAGAGAGTTTGGGGAGTTGTAGTCCAAAAAGAGGTTTAACCCCCTTAAGGACACATGACATGTGTGACATGTCATGATTCCCTTTCATTCCAGAAGTTTGGTCCTTAAGGGGTTAAAGCGGGCTCTGTCACTACAAAGAATATTTATTTTCTATTAAAAAAATAAATCATAATGATTACAGGGAGCTTACCCTGATGAGATAATTCACACACATTTATGCTAATTGATTGACATATGTAAGTGTGTGAAATTTCTTCATTGTTGCTTTCTTAGCAAAGTTTATTCTGAATGTTTAAAACCTCTGAGCGTGACTTTCAGTTTTCTCTCCCAAAATCATTATAAAATGCAGAAAAACGTGTCCAACTTGAGACCTGTCCGTCTAAAAACTAGCAAGTATTCATTAATGTCACTTTGTCACCTTTAGGTAAGGTAAGGGAAATTCTTGTAGTGTGAGAACTTTTTTTGTTTTTGTTTGGGAGAGTAATCAAGAATTGTCCAGGGTACTGAGGACCACCATCTTTTAAAAGTTAGACATAGTATTATCCACAGTTATATGTGTGGTGTGAAGGATAAAAATGATGTTTATGTGACATTTGGTTTCCAGTTGTATGTAAAATGTGGATGTCACAATCTACAATCTTGCAGTATACAACTGAATTCTTTACTCAGAGCTTGCTTAATCCATTCTTTAAAATAGACCTCAATTAGCTAGTACATATATCTACCAAGTGTCTCTCTTTAGAAGGTGCAGTCCCTCTTTAGGATCAAATTCCGTTGTCACGTTCTAACATGTTACAATCCCTGTATTCTAGGAGCCCAGAATTTGTTAAGTTAAAGGACCACTCTAGGCACCCAGACCACTTCAGCTTAATGAAGTGGTCTGGGTGCCAGGTCCAGCTAGGGTTAACCCATTTTTTCATAAACATAGCAGCTTCAGAGAAACTGCTATGTTTATGAATGGGTTAAGCCTTCCCCTATTTCCTCTAGTGGCTGTCTCATTGACAGCCACTAGAGGCGCTTGCGTGCTTCTCACTGTGATTTTCACAGTGAGAGCACGCCAGCGTCCATAGGAAAGCATTATGAATGCTTTCCTATGCGACCGGCTGAATGCGCGCGCAGCTCTTGCCGCGCGTGCGCATTCAGTCGACGGGGAGGAGAAGAGGAGGATTGGAGGAGGAGAGCTCCCCGCCCAGCGCTGGAAAAAGGTAAGATTTAACCCCTTTCCCCCTTCCAGAGCCAGGCGGGAGGGGGACCCTGAGGGTGGGGGCACCCTCAGGGCACAATAGTGCCAGGAAAACGAGTATGTTTTCCTGGCACTATAGTGGTCCTTTAACCCCTTAAGGACACATGACATGTGTGACATGTCATGATTCCATTTTATTCCAGAAGTTTGGTCCTTAAGGGGTTAAAGTATATATTAGAGCATCATATAGATAAAAAATAGTAATGTATTGATCCGGTGTAGTCAATGTGTAAGCAAATCCATTTGGTCTTGTTGCGAACAACTGTTTCATTACATCTTTGACATTTAGTAGGTCAAAAATTTGCAAGAATAGCCACACTGTCGGGCCACACCCTTAACCACAGCTCCTAAACCAAGTGTGTTCGTGTTTAGTCTTTTGAGGAAGTACAAATACATTTTGGGAACTATGAATCCACATGGGCTTGCATGGTGGTGTCCAGAAATGCGTTATATTTAAAGAACCTGTATTTTGCTGTGATTTATAGACCTCATTATCCAAACCAAGGATTATCCCAGACTCCTCCATCTTAAATACTTACCAATATTATAATGTGCTTAAAGAACACTCCAAGTACCATAATCACTTAATTTCACTATAGAGGCTATAGTTCCAGGGACTGCGCCCGTCCCCTCATTGTAAGTATTCAAATTTTTTTTGAATGGGTTTCTGGAGAAATGGTTCATAAGCAGGGCTCAGTGGCAGCTGTGAAGAACTCACTCCTAAAGTTCCCACTGATTACACCACTAACCTGTGTGTACCCCTCACGCCACATCCCTATTCTCTAGTCCACCAGAGGCTCATCAAGAGCTGGAGTGTCCAGGTGCTATTAGCGGGACCAACCTAAACTCACTCTGGAACTCCGGCATGGCCATTTACTTTTGGTTTTCCCGGTTGTTTTGTGACACGGTTTTCCCTACATTCCCAGAACTGATAGAAATACAGTTCCTCAAGCCAGACAATCGCTCCCTAGAACAACCAGGGAGCTCCCGTACCCCATGGAGATATACCTCACAATATAACACCGGCAATTGGCGTAGACCGCATTGAACTCTTTTCGGCTAAGTTTGTTGCAGCGGTTGTTTAAACCATTGATAGGATGGCGTTTCAACAGTACCCCATAAAAAATATTCACAGATGTGGCGTTCGGATCTGACCTTTCAGGTGATGTATAACATGTAGGGGTATGTTGTTATTTAATGTGTGTTTTTGGGGGTATATCTGTATTGCACTCTCTGTATCCAGGAGATAATTGCTTTACCGAGAATCAACTCAATTATCTCCCAGATACAGAGACGCCTTTGCGGGCTTAGGATGTTGAGTATAGAGATCCCATTGTGGGAGTCTGTGTATAAATGTGTGTGCTTTTGCCTAATAAATCCAGTTGTTGTACCCTTCATCAAGTCTCGATTGATGTTTGGATATATGAGAGTTATATTCACTACTTCATTTCGGGATCTGGGAGAGACTATGGCAGAGGTATCATTCTGGGTACAGGCGCTCGGTTACAGCAGCGAGCAATCAACTGCACTGCAGACCCTAGCTAAGAAGTCAAACCGTTCAGAAATGGTTTGACTACTTACTATGTGGGGAGGGAGTGAGGGGACACTGCGAGCTGCAGTGGCTATTGTGCTTGGAATGTCCCTTTAACTGGAAATTAAGAAGCATTCGGGACAGCTGATCATCCCTCCAGCTGTTGGGTCTGTTCTAGCTGGGTTTGACAATTATGTGTCTTAAATCTAGTGCTGCTGCTTGTAGATAGCACGCTGACGCCCTTCTGTCTGTGTCACGGGGGTTCATGCTCCATAAAGCCCATTTTGTTACATCTTCAACTTCTGCTATGTTTATACATACAAACATTTTTTATTTTTTGGTTTGTTGATATTAGTAAAATTTCCCGTAAGATCCAGACACATTTTGCAGTAACATTATTAATCAAATGAGTCATTGTATAGCGTTCCTGGTACAAAAAAAAACAGAGCACCCTCTCTAGCTGTGGGAAGAGGTATAAAAGACACAGTAAGTTATTTTAGTATTAAAAACAACACGTTTAAGCATCCCTTTAGCAGTGCCAAGTGCCACGGCGTCAATCTTCTTTAGACACTGGAATGTCATGCAAAAGGTTGGCAACCATTAAAATCAGGCGCCAGTTTCAAATTTAAGGAAAAAGCTTTTAGTTTGACTAGTTTGGCCTTAAATTTGAAATTAATTTTGGATTTACAATAATTTACCAACAATATTAATTGTAGTGAATAACTCTGTAAGATTTTCTTTCTTAAACAATCTTGAGTAAAGTGTGCATGCAATGAGCAAACATTTTGTAATGTTCTGGTGGAGTTGCTATAGCAGTGAATTAGAACACAGATTTTATTCCCAAATCTTTAAACGTTGATCAGCGCACTGAAATTCTTGCAAGTGAACCTATGTTACATGCACGCATTAAAGGAACACATAAAGTGTGTCCTCTTTGTTTTCAGTTTATATAAGTGCATTTTTAGAAACAAATCTTGTTACAGCCACCTGGCTGTCAATTACACAGCTCTTCCTGTTACTTTTTTGTAGTTTAGATCTGTTGAGCTAAACCAGGGGTTTACAAATTTGTTTGAAATCTGGGAGCCAGCTAAAAAAGTTAGGAGGCAGTTTTTTTTAAAAAAACTAACAAAATTAAATTTTGAACGAGAAAAATGCAATTCTTAAAGGGATGCTATAGTCATCAGAACCACTGCAGCTTACTGTAGTTATTCTGGTGTCTGTAGCATGTCCCTGCAGGCTTTTCAATGTAAACATTACCTTTTTCAGAGAAAATACAGTGTTTACATTGCTGCCTTGATTCAATGTATCTCTATGAGGAGATGCTGATTGGTGCAGCACAGCCTTTTTCTGCACAAGCGCAATATTCTCCTAAAGCTTTCCTATAGGAAAGCCTTGACTTAGCTAAGATCATAAAGATCGATGATCTCAGCCATGGATGTAGGACAAGCTGCAGTGAAACTGCACAGCGGGGAGGAAAAAGGTGAGTAAAAACACCTTTCCTATGTGATCAGAGGAGGGCAGATACCTAAACAGACACACACACAGAGACACACAGACAGACAGACAGACACACAGAGACAGACATTCACATTGACAGACACACTTTTTCTCATAAACTCACAAATTAACATTTTAATTTTCATTTATGTTCACCCAGCCTCCCTACCTTTGGGAGAGCTGAGTGGATCTTTTCCTGGGGTCCAGTGGGACTTCTCTGATCATCTTCCTGCAGCTCTCTTTCCTGCGTGCTCTCTGTAGTGATGCCGGCGTCGGAGTGACGTCATATTCCAGCTCCTGGCATCACTAAACAGCGCAATGGAGCAGAGAGGAGCTGCAGGAAGATCACTTCTCCCTCGCACACTGCCGCTTGCGCTACCCCAGGCTGGTGGCCAGCTCCCATGATGTCCCATGTGGATAGTAGGTCCCCTCTCATGCTACGTTGTGCAGGTGGCCGGCCATGTCTCATGCTGCCCCTTGTGGGTGGCTGGCGGGAGGGGAAGGCAGGAGCATTTTGTGTGGAAAAGATAGGGGACAGAGCCTGCGGCAAACAATGATGGTCACTGAATCCGACATAACAACAGACCCCTCCCAGGCTTCCCTGTGCTGGTGGCAGGCTGCCTTCCAGGCTGCCGAGGGTGGCCTTCGCTAAAGGGCTGCCAGGACAAAATCCCTGGGGCCAGGACAATTTCTAGTCAACCTGGTGACAGGTGACAGCACTGAGCTAAACTCAGGGCCTGTGCAAACATAAGGCAGCACAGGTGCTGCACCGGCCCGGGGGGCACGAAAATAGTTTGACCACCAGAGGGGATTGCACATCACAGTGCTAGTCACTCCTTCTATCGTGGCCAAGCAGACTGTGGTAGAGGAGCTTTTGTATCCTCTACCAGGTCTAACAGAAAGTGCTCACTGAGAGCACCGAGCAGCTTTCTGTCAGACTGAGCAGAGGATACAGAAGTTCCTCTACCCCGGTCTACCCAGCCACACTACACAGGAAAATAAGCAGGCACAGGATGGGGCAAAAAGACATACAGGGGCTGAGGAAGGGGCAAGAACTGTCAAAAGAGACAGACAGGGAAAGCGGAAAAAGGAAAGCCGTGGTGAGGGGTGAACACCCAGAGGGGCTGGGAGGGGGACAAAAAGAGGCACAGGGGGCCTGGGGTAGGAGCAAAAGCGACAGACGGGGGCTGGGGAGAAGAGAGACAAGGTGTTAGGGGAAGAGACGCAAAGGGGCTGAGGGCAGACAAAGAGGCAGTGAGGGGCTGGGAAAGGGGCAAAATAGACAAACAAGGGATGGACGACAGACATCCAAGGGAGCAGGAAGAGACATAGAAGGGCTGGGGAAGGGGCAAAAGAGACAGTCAGGAGCAAAGACACCCAGAGGTCCAGGGGCCTGGTGTAGGAGCAAAAGAGACAGACGGGGCTGGGGAGAAGAGAGACAAGGTGTTAGGGGAAGAGACGCAAAAGGGCTGAGGGCAGACAAAGAGACAGTGAGGGGCTGGGAAAGGGGCAGAATAGACAAACAAGGGATGGACGACAGACATCCAAGGGAGCAGGAAGGGAACACAAATGGGCTGTGGAAGGGGCAAAAGGGACACACAGGGTCTTGGGGGGATATATCCAGAGGGACTGGGAGGAGAGCAAAAAGACACAGAGGGGCTGGGGGGAAGAGACACAGGAGGAATAGACACACAACAAGGGCTTGAGGGTGAGAAAGAGACATACAGAGGGTCTGGGTGTAGAAAGAGACATAGAGGGGTTTAGGAGTAGGATAAAAGGATATACAAAAGGGGCTGGGGCAAGACAGAGAGAAGTTGGGGAAGGGGAGAAAATAAAAATAATACATATATAAAAACTAAAATATATTTTAACACAATTTAAAACTAATATATTTAGAATATTTAAATGTTTGCATAAAAAGTAGGATTTCTCCTTTTTGATTGGTGATTAAAGTCTGTGAAGACTAATAGCTTGTGCAGTAAATGCATCTTTAATTATTTGTACTAAATATCTAACACACAGAATGTTAAATTCATTACTCGTCTTTGCAGTGTATCTATTCTGAAACTGCACATTTGGTTCACTTCTTCCCAAAAGTTTACAAAAGTGGTTCTTTAGTTAGGCAAATTTGTCCTTGTTATACTGAGAATAGTAAAAATGTATAATAAGTTTATATGTTATGCAAATAATAGGTTTCTTGTATTGTATGAAATTGTTCATGTACTGTTAATGTTGCATGCATAATATGTAAGGTTATATGCTTATGATTTTATATATAAATAAGATTGTTTTACTATTTTGTAATGTGTGATGCCCTGTATCTATAATTAATTTCTTCTTTTTATATTGTTTAACACAGTAAATGCTTATCACTTTAAGACAAATATATTCACATTTACATTTGTTTTATCTACGTCTAATTATTTGATTTCATGCAATCTGTTACACAGTATTGTGACTGGATGAGTGTTTTTGTGCCCACCTATATTGTACTTAATATCAAACATCTTCTTTATGGCTTGAAAAAGACACTTAGGTGTCGAAACGTTGCCCTTTGATGACTGAATAAACTACCATTATGTCACAAATTGCCGAGCGCTGGGCTGTTTCTCTTTGTTATTGTGTATCTTTAGTCCTATGGGACCGGGACCAATGGCACAGGCAGCCAAGATTGGCAATCTATTTTTGCTCCACACAATTCTTTATTGTCGTCACTTAGGCTTTGCATTACATTTATTTTAGAATTTAGTTTCTTATCTTTTTCTAGAGGATTATTGATAGCGGCACATAGTAGGATTTGATTCAAGAAAGAAGCATTTTTTTTAGAATTGTCTGGTTAAATGAATCTAGTTGATTGGGACATACCTTGTGATGTAATTCTGTACATGGTGACACGTCAGATGTCATTACCCAATATTCCTAAACTGACTACAAACAATGTATAAAAACTGATACTGACCTTTTTTAGGGGTTTCCCCCATTATTATTACTATAATTATGAAGAACTCAAACAGAATGGTAGGAAGTCATGCCTTGAACTTTAAAGAGGAAGTGTTATATTTATTTACATTTCCTAACGTATTAAAACCAATACATTAATTACAGCAATCACTTTGGGATCCATGCACTGCCTGTCAACATGAAATGTTGCTGTGCATGATGTGCATCCAACTTGGTAACCCTAACTACATTGATGCATTTGTATTTTTTTCCAACACTCACAGGACTACTTTGTCTCTGTATTTTTCCTCCACCTGACTTTTATAGACTCTGTGTGGAGCTACAGAGTCAATCCTGACAGCCATCATCAGTGTCAGCTGCAGGGAATTGGCTATGTCAAGCACTAGAGTACAGCAGTGATGGTGGCTCCTGGCTAGCTGAATAACAGCAGATGGAAGAAGGTGGTGGCGTCCTCGATAGACAGGTTCATGTAAGTAAATCTCACCTTTACCTGCCCCACCAACCCAGCCACCGGACCCACAACGGTGACGTCACCGTCGGGGGTCTTTGCGAATTTGCTCCAACTCAAACTACTCCTGGGCAACAGCAATGGCATCATCAGCCCCAATATAAAGTACACAGAAAAAGTTACCTGTGCACTATCCCAAATTCCTATGCACATTTAAATAACTGGACGTTTTTGGTATCACTCCAATGACTCTGTAATCCAAAGGCTTTTGCATTACACAGCCATGTTACATAGCTGGCTCCTACCTCATGTGTATCCTATTAAGAGATAATAAGTGTGTAGGGGGTTCATCAAAATACCCAACTCTGTACCATTCGATATTTTGCCTTTAGCTGAAAGCAGCAAAGTGAATTGCTAGTTTAGAGCTCACAAGCAGTTTTGTGTTGACGGGGCACACTTCAGAGCCATCAGAGTGAAACTAGAAAAACTCAAGTCATTTAAAAGTGCACAGGGATTGGTGATGGTGCACAGGTAACTTTTTTTTTTTTTTACTATTTATTGGGGCTGATGGATACTGTAGCAATTTCTGCCATACAGGCGTAGAGGAAGTTTGAGGGCAGGGTTTAGATTTGTGTGTTTATATCCCTGTATTTGACAGAAAAAATGGGGTTCTCCCTAGCACACATAGTTGCTGCAATGCTTTAATGATGTACAGACTGAACATCTGTATGAGGCTTAGAACACTGGATGTGGGCAGGGCTGGCGTGTCCATTAGGCAGCACAGGTGGCCGTCTTAGGGCGCCAGAGCAGGGGGCCGCAAAAATCACTCAGATTTTTCTAATTACCTGTCTCCATG